CTCCCTCTCTTTCTTTCTCCTTCCCTCCCTCTCTCTTTCTCTCTCTCCATCGCTGGAGGTTTTTTCAAAAATAGACTGGACAGCCATTTGACTGGGGTAGTATAAGGCCTCTTGCCTTGAGTGGAGGGTTGGACTAGAAGACCTTCGAAATCCCTTCCAGCCCTGTGATTTTATGTTCTGTATTCTCTGCAGGTTGAACAAGTGAGCCAGATTTGTGCACTAGTACAAGCCCAGCTGGAATACCACAGGCAAGCCACAGAGATTCTCCAACAAGTCAGTCTCAAGCTGGAAGAAAGGTAGCAAAAATTGAACAGAAATATTTGGGCACATGTTTTTAATATCAGGGCTGTAAACTTGAGATGGGGAGCAGCTTTCCATGGATTATAGAACAAAATACATAGATACATTTAATTCTATTTTAGAGCCTGGACAGGATATATTTTGCAACAGCTATTCCAGCGAAAATACCTTCCCATAGTGCTCCATTGTTTTTTTTCCCCAGGCTGATAAAATATTCTCAACACATGTTTACCTGCAGTTTTTGATTTTTTTTCTTGCTCGCTGATTCCGCCCAATCTTTCTGAAATTATTCTGCTTCTCCTTTTCTTGCAGTTGGACTCAAGCGATGTAATGCAATTAGGCCTTCAAAGCTCCATTTTCCAAGTTCTACTTAGACATTAAAGAAAAGGAAATGATTTGTTCCAATATGAACCAAATAGGATTCACCTGTCTTTTTTCACTGTCTAGCAAGCTTGCTTGGTTGGTTATTTTTTGGATGGATTTTAAATCTTACTTCAATTCTATATAGTTCTGATGTTATATTTCCCTTTAGTCTTGATTATAATGATTTGTATGGAGAGCTGTCTTTTTTATGAGTTATTTTCTGAAAAAAAAATTCAGGATTTTTGTCAATCGTTTCAGACTATTTCGAAGAATCTTTTCCAGCGTGGTGGAGGGGGCTCAAGAATTTATAGGCAGGTTAAGTGGTCGTTCAGGGCATATACAGGAATTTATAGACATCATCTTGAAATAATTATAAAAAACTAATTTTGCAACTTAATTTTGCAGGGTTTTACAGATATAGAACCATAGTTTTTAAACTTAAAATCTTATTTTCCTATCCTAACCCTACCTAGACTTTAACTATCATCTATCACAGTTTAAAGACATGTTGTACAAGTCTGTTGTTTAGTTAAATTATCATGGATTTTGACAAGGCTTAAACAATATATATTTGCCTATGCGCTTCAAATCGGCCTGATGCAGACTTGCTATATCAGAAAAAGCTGCTCTTGACATTAACCACAGTGGACAAGTCCACTCTATTGGATTCCATCAAAAGAAATATCAGGAAATTAAGTGAGCTTAGCAATGTGTATAGCCTCTGCCCTCATTGATATGGGAAATGTTACTTCTAATTCTTTAAGCAGAAGCTCAGGTTTCTGTTTAAAGAAAACAGGTTTGTAACAATCAAATCTTCAATAGAGAGTAAATCCCATAGCTATAAAACTTCAACTACAACTACCATGTTCTTTGACAAAAAAAGACCAGGTATCTTGAAATATCTTCTGCATGCAATGCCTTGGAGTCGGGACCAAAAACTGATGTTACGGATAAATGTTTAGAGATTCCCTAAGGAAAGCAATTAGGGCACTTTTCGTTCAGACTTGTTTCTGGACCAGTAAAAAAAAAAAAAAACATGGGAAAATCCCTTTGCCAAAGAACATTAAAATAGAGTTAGGAATAGGAGTAGAGTTAGGATTAGGATTAGGTCTCCTTGGAATCAGGGCTGAAAATTGATGTTACGGATAGATTCTTATAGGCTCTCAAAGATAAAGTGACTCTGATAGCTTTTGGTTAGGACTTCTTTCTGGGCCTGAGTAACATGTACGGGGAAATCCCATTGACAATAAAAATGAAACTAGGTTTAGGATTATGGTTTGGGTTGAGGTTAGGTCTCTTTGGAGCAGCAGTGAGCTGCTGGATGGTCGGCAAGGTATGGGCGAGCCCCTAGCTGTGATTTCTGGCTGGGCCTGCCCACCGGCCCTTGTGCTATGCTTTTCCTAAATAACTAACTTTCCCCCCCAGCCAGGCTGCCCTGGTGAGTTCTGCGCCACCCTGCTGTACTCACTGGAGTTGCCTGAGTCGATTAACTCAGGGGTCCCCAACCACCGGTCCCCGGACCAGTACCGGTCCGTGGATCATTTTTTACCGGGCCGCAAAGCTTGGGCGCCGCCATCTTGTTTCGACGGCGCTTGTTTCGGTTGCTTCCGGGTTTTTGGTTGGAAAGTGCTTCCGGATTTTCAGTTGGAAGGCGGCGCTTGGGTGCTCGCGCCTTAGTTTCGTCGAAGGGAGGGGGCGGCTTCGAACGAAGAGCCGTCCCGATGGCGGTGGAGTCTCGCGTTACTCAGGTACCGGTCCGTGGAAGAATAAATAATCGTGAAACCGGTCCCTGGTTCAAAAAAGGTTGGGGGCCACTGGATTAACTGCCTGTTTGAAGCTGCGTTTCAGCCCCAAAGCGGCACATGCGCAACCAGCGATCCCCTTGTCAACGAAAGTGCAGCCCACCTCTGCTTTGGAGTCAGGCCCAATAACTGATATTAGGGACAGAGTCTTCAAGATTCTCTAAGGAAAGAGACCCTGACACCTTTTCATTCAGACTTCTTTGGGAACCACAATAAAATACATAGGAAAATCCCATTGCCAGTGAAAATGAAACTGGAGTTGAGGATTTCGCTTTCTTTAGAGAACCTCTAAGACTCTATCCCTAACTTCACTTTTTGACTCTGATTCTAAAAAGAGCTAATCATAACTATAACCCAGTCCCTAACCCTAAACCTTGTTTTGTTTTGTGAATGGGGTTTTCCCATGTATTACTGTGCTCTATAAATATGTCTGAGCAAAAAGCAGCCACGTTCTCCTTCCTTATAAAACCTCTAAGAATCTATTCCTAATGTGAGTTTTCGACCGTGACTCCAATGACAGCTAATCCTAAATCTATCCATAACCCTAACCCTAATTTCATTTTCATTGGCAGAGGTGTTTTCCCATGTATTTTCCTGTGCTCCACAAAGAAGTCCAAAACAGAATCTGTCATGTTGTTTCCTTACTTAGAGAACCTCTAAGAATCTATTCCTAACATCAAGTTTCAGCACTGACTCCATTGAGAGCTAACTCTATTTAACCTGAATCCTAGCTTTTCTTTCGTACTTCTTTTAGGACCACAGTAAAATTCATGGGAAAATCCCATTGTCAAAGAATATTAAACCTGAAGGAACTGCAGTCAGGAATTTCTGGGCTTTCTTAAAATTTAACTATGTTATTTTACAAGTAAGGTAGCCGAAGTGTAGCCTAAGGTTCTCTTAAGCAGAGAATCAGCTGAACAGTTCAAATAAGAAAGTCTTACTGAAAACCCTCGTAACTCAGATACCGGGAGATAAATACTTTAGTAGGGCTGAGAATAAAGTCCAACCTGATTCTATACAAGAAATGTTTATGATCTGGCCTCTTGTTTTCCAGCATATAATGGTCTCAACAAGCAGCCACAATCAGATTTCGTCCGAGCTTACAAATCATCATTGTCTTTTAATGACCACATAATCCCTTGTGGGGTGGAGTGTGGGCAACTGGACCTGAATGTTTACTGGCCAAATGCCCTTCCTGTCATCAGTGCAGAGTTATATTCAGCAGATATAATCTCGATGTGTCCAGAGAGAAATATCTGCCTCTACCTAGGATCGAACCCACAGCCTCCTGATTGTGAGGCGAGAGCTCCACCTCTAGGCCACCGCACCACTCCCAGTCCCAGCTTACAATACATAGATTCCTCAATGATGTATTTCATCCACTCTTCATTGTTAAGGAGAACCTGTAAGATACCTTCCCTATGCACTGAAATAAATTCAATGTATGACATTGGCATTTGTATCAAATTCAAGGTATATATCAAACTGGTGAAAAGATAGTTCAAGATAGAAGCCTAAACTAAACTTGTCCTCTGTCAAGATGTCCAGGAAAATCCTTTGAATGTGAATCAAATATAGCCTTGATATATTTGTACAATTTATGCATTGGGGGCAGATCACTATAATATTCAGTTTTAGGGCCAAAAGAATGAAAATGACAGGGTTCAAAATCAGGCAAAGTTTTACATGAGGTACTGTAGTAGTAGGCCTGCTTGTAGACTTGCTGGTTATGAAAATGCAAAAAAAAAAAAAATAGTCTTAGTGGATTAGAATTGGATTAGTTCAAATTAGTAACTGCTCATTTTCTAACAGAATAAAAGAAACATCGGTTCAGATCAGAAGAGAATATCAGCCAAAGCCCCGGATGACCTTGGAATTAAGTGACAATAATCAGCACAATGGAGGGCACTCTAATGCTACCACTCCTAAGCCTTCAGGTAAGAATGGGAAAAGAGGAGGTGAACAAGAAATGTCCAAGAAAATTTCTGTATTTGTCATAGCTTCGTTGGATCCCAGTTTGGAGGAGAAGTTGGAACTGGGACCGTCTGACAAGGATGGCACAGTCCCATCCGAATGTGTAGAGAGTCTAGGGGAACTCGACTCCCAAAGCCATCTGGCAATTAGGGGAAGGGGGGAAGAGCCAACCGGATGGGGTTGTAGATCGGCTTGTAGGAGCAGATCAGCTACAGAGAGCCAATGGAGATAATAGGCTCCTGACCACCCCTGACAAGGAACAGCTGCCTCTCCTGCCCGATCTGTGGATGAGAAGAGCAGAGTGGAGGGAGGCATAGAGGAGGTCAGCGAGGCTGCTCGGGAGGAAGCAACCCTGTCCCTCCCCACAAGAAACAACTGGGGAAGGGTGATTTAACCAGATACTGGGGGAAGGTGTATTTGTCAGGAACACCTCTTTGCTTTGATGTGCCCCTTCCCAGCTTTTGTGAATATTTCCTAGAGACTCGTGGGCTGCATTTCTTGCCTGTTTGCCTGTGGACTCTAGACTTGGCTCTCTGATTTTGGACTGTTGGACTGTGCTTTGGTTTTTGGAACTCTGGACTTGTGTTGTGGCCTTGGTACTTGTGGGTTACTTCCCTCTTTGCCTCATGAGTCGGCTAGGACTTATGTTCATGGAACCAGGAAATTCAAACTGAGGGGAAACTGAGGAATGGGGCGGAGCTTTCCCGGCACCATTGGTGGGTCATTTGATGCTGAATTAAGTGTGCAATAAATGGACTCTACTTAAACTTAGCCAGCTTGACTTGGGTCAGAGCAGAACTCTTCCTTTTTCTGGAGGAAGGCCTCTGACCGCGGGGTCCTTGAAATACTGGGGTGGGGGATTAAATGATTTTGAAATATTAGATAAGATTCATGAGATTCACAAAACCATCTGAGGGTAGATGATCCATTTCCTTTGTTCCTTTCATAGAATGTCTTGTATCAAAGGAAAACTATCTAGGTGGCTGGTCCTTGACAGATATCAAAAAGCTAAGTAAAATTGGACTAGTTAATATTGAGATGATACTACCTGGCCAAATAGAGGTAAGAAAGGAGAGTTAAGATGGATTCAGTTGCATCTCAAGAATTTGAGGAGGAATTAACTTTAATTCCAAGGAGGCTTTCCTATTACAAAAAGTAATCTCTCTGAAAGGATTATAGAATTTTAAAGTGTGGATGGCTATTAGACACTGGTAACATTTCATTCTTGCATAAATAGCATTTGTTGTAGCGGTATCTCATTTTCAATTCCACCCAATCATTTGTAAAGGTGTACAAATTGCATTGTGATCCACAAGGGCTGAGAGAATACAGTTAGCTGCTAAAGGATAACACACAGGCAGGACAAGGCATCATAGACCGGTATTGTGATGTTCTTCAAATAATATTACAATGTAATGTAATAATAATATAACATAACATAATATAAAATATATCATTTTAAGATAAGTATTGCGATAATTTACAAGAAAGCGAGGCATAAACCAGTTTAAAAAAAAGCTTTTTTAAATAACCAGAATATATTCAGGACTTAAAATTATTATAATATGTTAGGGATAACATGGTTACCTAACTTAGTTTGGGTAAAATAATATATATAGACTATAATTGTGTGTGTCACTTTAAATGAAGACCATGTATTTTGGGTGCGGTTGTAAAATCACCATAAGAGGGAGCAAGAGAGCTCACTGTTTGCTGGCTTTTACTGGATTGCTGACAATGATGGATTGATGGTGATAACTGCGTTTTTTCCCTGCTATTGCTGAACGAAGAAAAGAGGTTTGATTTTCTTCATATCTCTACTGCAAAAAGAGATATATTACTGGACTGATTATTTGTAAGTTTACTGACCTCTTTTTTCGACACTGGACTTTGCAACTGATTAGTCCCCAGATGGACTGAACTAGTGTATGATATATGGACTGTTTGACTATGCTATAACTCTGACTGGAATAAAAACTATTTAACTGGCACAGTGTATCTGTTTTACTGAGTGTAAGCTACAACAACGTTTATCTCATATATCTGCCTGCCTGACTGACTACCGTTGCACGTTCTGCTAGGGTGTATATCCCTAACATAATAAGATAGACATAAAGTATCTAGAAGAATAAAGTCTTCCCCTGGTCCTGATGTTAGCATAAACCAGGCAGGTAACATTCCACAATCATAGGTACCTAATCATGACTCCGTTTCCTGTTGCATTTAATGCCCATTCACTATGCAGTGCTGTGTCTTGTAGCTGCCTTTAGTAAGCGCCATGTTTCTCTCTTTCCTCTCTTTTTCCTTTCCACACAGGTGGCGTGGGCATGGATCAGCCGTGTTGTCGAGCTCTGTATGACTTTGACCCTGAAAATGAAGGGGAGCTTGGTTTTAAAGAAGGCGATGTCATCACCCTCACTAACCAGATTGATGATAACTGGTACGAAGGCATGATTCATGGGCAGTCTGGCTTCTTCCCCATCAATTATGTGGAAATTCTTGTTCCTTTGCCTCATTAGGGTAGCCCATCCATCTATCAAAATTATTGTTTCTCCTAATTAATAATAATAATAAAGTAATTCGTTGATACCACTGCTTTTGAAAAATTAAGAAATCAATAAACGAAATGGCTGCTTATTCCACATCACAACTACAAACTGCACCGGCCCCACAGATAATATTTGATTTTTGTGTCACCCTGCCACAGAGTGGTGATATGTAGTATTTTCTCAAGGCATTTGCAGCCAGACAAACGTGGGATGTCCAGGTTATTCCTTTGGTTGCTACAGAGATGTCTATGCAGTGCTGGGGTGAGAGTGTGTGGCAATTAATGGTGTAACTAGGTCTTAATATTTGTGGAAAGAAAGCAGCTGAGTGATTGGGGAAGATAAAGCATATCACCATTCTTTCATTATTTTCTTCTCTTTCTACGAAGAAGAGAGGGGGAAGGACATACACGGCCTTGGGTATTCCACCTTTCCCTATCCAAACAGTGTGTTTCATGCAGGCCTAATTATTGCTAACTGGCTTTTTCGTGTTGTCTTATCTCAGAAATGATTTGAGTGCTGGAGAAACTGCGAAATGTGTATTCCAGTTGCTTTACACATCGGCCACCACTGCTCTGTACTTGCTATATTCCAGGTGTGGCGGAAGGTATCTAGGAATCTATTAGTAGGTTTTGTGTGTGTGTGTGTGTGTGTGTACGATTGTGTTTTAATTCACAATTGTTTAACACTAGCAACAACAACAAAATTCTGCCTAAAAGTTGCTGATGTGAGGAGAATTGAGGGTAACCAGCTGCCATTTTAAAGTGAAAGGGACCTGCTGATTGCTAGTGCTCAGAACAAATTCTTATGCTTAGTGTGCTCAAAGACTCCTTGTTTTGTTTTGTTTTTAATTCTAAATGTATTAGCTCTTACCTGGCTCTGGTTGGTGAATCTGGGGTTCTAGTTAAAATAATAATAATAATATTACTAAACTTTTTAGTCTGCCAGCCCCATTTTAGATTGTCAATTCAAGAGCTGTTCAAAATCCAAGGCTTTTTAATAGCATCCAAAAGTTAATGCAGGAAAGATTAACTTTGGAGGGTAGCCTATGTGCTTGCTTAGAAAGCTTCAATATTAAAAGCACAATGCCAGCAGAAGTCAATCATACTTGGAGAAAACATTTTAAAAACAACATTCAACTGTGTAAAATCTAGACACAAGAAGTATAATTTTAAACGTCATGAACCCTTTATATATTTACTAATAGTAATAAGCAACGTACACCATGTAGTTTTATTTTCACCTACCTTGTGTTCTTTGAACATCATTTGTGTATATTCTGCCCTCAGTGAGGACTAAATAATAACAGATTTTTTGTGTGTGTATGTGTGTGCTTAGGAATTACAGTGACATACAGTTACACACACAAACACATTTAATTATTTTTCTCTCCATGCTGTCCTCTATGCATTTATGTGCCACTTCCTCCAGTTGGGGTGTAAAATGTTGTCTAGCTGGTTCATTGTTGTTTCATTTGAATTACCCAGAATTCTGTTTCTCTATATAAATCTGTATATAAACCTTCTTGTGCTGCTTCAGATGTGCCACTTCAGTATTGGACCATGTGAAATGAAGGAAGTCCTTTTGCTTTTCATGTATAAACTATACCATGAACAGTGTTGTTCTTTCAAATAAAAATGCTGATTGAGAAGCCACAATGATTATGCTTGCATTTTTTTCATTAATATTTGCGTTTGATCATACCAGACGGCCGCAGTTTCCTATCCAAGATACAGTAAGTAGTCTTTGGGTTATGATGGCAATTTGGGACCAGGACTGCCATTGTTAAGTGATGGGATCATAAAATGTGAAATCATGGGACTACCCCACTAATCAGTGGCAATCATGGCAGTCCTCATTGCCATCGTAATCCCAAGAAGTAGCAAGGGCGGCACTCCCAGGAAAGCGGCATGGGGGTGGGACAGTGGAAGGGGGGGGGCTGACAGTTGGGGAGGCCAGGGCCACCAGTTGTGCACAAATGCAGGAAAGCTGAGAGAATGGACGGCAGTTTTCTTTAATAAAGAAGAATATTTGTAACTCAGAGTTGACATGAGGGG